CGTAATTTCATCATACGTCTGTTAAAATATAAAATCAGTCGACACTGCGGAGTTCGCCTTCATGAGATTTATTGCCTTGAAAATGATATCGATTTGACCAAGATAATTGATTAACACAACACTGTCCGTTTTGACAATCTACCTTGGATTAAGAGTTAATGACGCAATCATACTTCTCAGCCCTGATTCCTTATTTTTCCTGAAAATATTCGGTTCAAAATGACAGAAACACAGTCTTTTTTTCTCTCTTCTTTTTCTTTCTTTTTCTTTTTCAGATTTTCATCCCGCTTTCTCGCAACAACCATTCTTTCGCGATTGTGTTGGCATATATGCCATTACCCAGCCGACTGCTATCCTCTTAGTTCCCCATACTATCTACCGCTGGACGCTAGTGGTCGTTGGTGGACGCTGATGGACGCTGGTGGAAGCTTATAGACGCTATTAGACGCTGCCGTTCGCTAGTTCGATGCCTATACTTTCGTCGCTGACGCTGACGGACGCTCGAAGCGTCGCGGTCGCTGGTGAACGCTGCCGCAAAGTATGAATGCAGCCCTAGCACTTTATGTTATGCAAAAGCGTTGGGGGGTGGGCGCATCTCGCTGTAGCAAAAGTACACTTTGAAGCATAATCATAGTTCCACCCATGAATCTCACAAAATCCCGTCTTACACGACGTTTTCAAAAATGCCCCCATACAGAAAATGTGGTAATTACCAATACCAATTCGCATGCCAACACCAAACTCTAGCTTGAAAAAACAATTTTTTTCGTCAATTTTTTCAAAAATGGTCGTTCTGACAACGCAGCAAAAATATAGTTCCACCGCATATTTTCCGGCTGCATCTCATTTTTGTTCGGTGAAACTTCTCATCATTATGACTTCTCGCCTCTTCTAGGGGCAGTCGGCTGAAAGCCTATTAAAATCTCTAATCGAACATGGGCAACCGTATTTTCCAACTTAATTGGAGAAATAGAGTTCCAATAGATTACTGGATCAAAATTTATTCATTTTATTGTACACTTGTTGTTGGAATATTCGATTTGTTCGGTGGAACTATACTTTTGCTGCGTTGTCAGAACGACCATTTTTGAAAAAATTGACGAAAAAAATTGTTTTTTTTCAAGTTATGTTTGTTGGCATGCGAATTGGTATTTTTACATTTATTTCGTATGGGGGCAGCAAGAAAAATGAACCATTTTTAGGGCTATACGACACCTCCACATCGACAAATCGACGGGGAAATCCCCACCGGTGATGTGGCCGTGCCCCAAGTCGGTTTTTTCCGTCCGGTGGAAAAAACTATTTCTGCGTTTGGCAAAGAGCTGTCTACCCGCGCTAGGTTATATTTTTCACATTGCGATGTGACTTGACCACCTAACTCTGTGGCTATAAAATCTCAGTCGACAGCTTTTTGAAGCTGCAAAAAAATTCCGATGCCCTGTTGTTATCTCCCGTATCTGCGCTGAGTATATGAATGGTTTTTCCTGAGTTGAAAGATAAAATATTCAACGAACTTGTGTTTTTTACGTTCTCGCCTCCACCATGAGCCCTCTTGCGCTGGCGCGGTACACAATGTCACTTGATGCTCGAATGCTTTGACGACCTTAAAATGACAACTTCAGATCGCCGTCGTTACATTGCAGCTCACACAAATAATACCTCCGTCATGTCAGCTCTTTCTATGGGATCTTTTACAAAAACTCCTTTCATCAATGAACGTTCGAAGGTATTCAGGAACGCAATCTGGCAGTGTAAGGAATTCGCCATTGGTGATCTGCAGAATGAAGTTATTTGGTCTTATGATTTTCCCACCGACCAAATACTACGGGGAATCCCCACCGCTGATGTGCCCTGCCCCTAAGCGGCGTCGCGGTGGAAATTTTTCTATGATTTGAATTTTCTTAAAACTTATGTACGAACATTGACTTTCACTTCAGCGTTGGTTTTGCCTTCCCATGGTTCGGCTCCATCGGAAAAGATTTCGTAAACGACAACGCCAAAACTGAAGACATCTGTTTTCAATGAAAATGAAAAGGTAGTGATCGTTTCTGGGGCCAGCCATTTGATGGGAAGCCTCATGGCCGTGCGAATTTGGTAATGTGTTCCCATACGAGATAAGCCGAAGTCACTTATTTTCACCTGAAATATGAAAATTAGAGGCAACATAATCTTGCAGAGGTGGCCTTATTATTAATAAGATTTTACTAGGCATGAAGGCAAACACAATGTTCAACTTTTTCTTGAGCTTTACGGAATCAGCCTCTATCTTTTGGACTACAAGTCAAACAATCCGAAACACGGTCCAGCATCGTGATGTGTGAAATGGTGATGTCATTACGACCCCCGCCTCCTCGAGGGAGTAACGCCGCCCCTCGAGGAAAGCTCTCAGTGCGACCCCCTCATTCCCCATCACTTCCTACATATTTCTCACATTTTCCAGTCTTTTACCCAATAGGGCGCATCACTGGTAGACGGGGTCGCCTTTTCCGTCTAAGGTGGTGCGGTCTATGATCAGAGGGACTGTACAGCTGCCCCAGAATGTGTCCTCCTCCCAGTTTATTTCAACTGACCATCTCCCTATGGCAGTGTGATTTTCTCATTCGAGTAGTTTTTCCGCATTCTCATGGTGTGAACTTGGCCTAATCGAAATCATTTTATGAGTGGGACTAGATGTGAAGGCAGTCTCTCAATCTATAGACAAAGACTGATCCAGATCAGATTAAATGGTACATGAACTACGTGTGGTCCTTTGTCAGGAAATATTTGAGCTTGCTTGAGAAAATAAAATTTATTGACACCCACTACTTTGTCTTGAGTGATAAGACAATTCCGAGCAGCCAAATCTCTGTGCATACAGCGGTTATAATGTAAGTATTCCGTTCCCTGTGCCGCTCCAAGACACATCGTTGTTTTATCCAGAACTTCTACACGACCAGCATTGGCTTTGAGCCATGAATTCAAAGCACCACCTGAAGCTGTCAATTATCCGCACGTTATCGGTCTGTGTTGTAGCGGAAGTAACACTCACTGCTTTAAAAGTGGACCTCATGATTTGCACCTACACTGCGCTCATGCTCTTCATCATGAATGTACTTATATCGCATGATAGCTGGACTGAGACTTGTCGCGCTCAACATGGTAGCAGGGTGAGAGGCTCAGTTTGAAGGAGGTAGACGGAAAAGGCGCATCACGAATACTCCGTAACTGGGAAGGACTTCCTTAGTATTCACATAGGGCATCCCAGTCTTGTTCAAAGTTAGTTTGACTAGGAATCTCAACTGACGAGAAAGTAACCATACTCAATTACCAGCCGGCGACGTTTGGTCTTCTATCGCCGGAGCGACACTCATGTACCCTGTAGATCCCGCAGCTCTCTCACACGACTAAAATACAGTAGACCCTCTTTTATTACGATAAAATGACATGCAGTTCACGGGAAGGTATAACAAGAACGCTGAGTTATGGCCAAAAGTCTTGGCTCCGGGCCTTTCCATGCGAACGAGCAGGTTTTGAAGAGGATTCAGCATCGATCACATCCACACGGTAACGAAGCTCATTGAAGTATCGCGAGAATACAAGATGCCGCCATGTCTGTAAAGAGAGCATGACCCGTATGGTCAACAAGGGTCACGTGACTGCGATCTCATTGATTATCGATCCTTTTCAGGCAACGCCCCCTTTGGCGCGAAAAGGGATGTGAGCGGGCTCGAAAGAGGGCAGTCGACATTTGCTCTTGCGCACCCGACGGTGCTCTCTCTCTGTACTCGTTTCTTACCATTGTTTTCCGGCCTTGTGCCCCTTGTTATGTTGAAGCTGTTTTAAGCCTTCTGCCTCGTACTTTTTTTGTGTAGTCTTTTTGTCTTGGCCTCGTGCCTATAGTTTAGCTTAGCGGTATCGCGGGCCCCGCGCCCCTTTAAGTTTTCTCTCGTCTACACACATCGTTTGCGGCCGCAAGCCGCCTTTAGTTGACTGTTGTTATTCTTTTCTTTGGCAGGCGGGCCTCCGCCTCGAAGCTCAGTTGATAGAAGTTCTTTTTTGATCCTCGGTGACACCTCATATTGTTACGGTTTCATTGGGTCTCCACCCCACCGGTCTTCATTATTTTTTTCCTCGGATATACGTTCTCTTTTTGTTACGGCCGTGTGCCCCTTTTTTGTGTGGATTTCCTCACATTTCGTATTTTCGTTTCTTTGTTGCTAGACGCGCTACATATAAAGTCTTTTTTACGGCTCGTGGTTAGAAGAGAAAGCCGGGTGAAAGAAAGCCCAGGTTACCGCTTGAACAACTTTGTTGCCTTACATGTCGTTCATCCACTGGGAAGAAAGCCTTCGACTCCGTTGAGACAGAAGCGGTTATCGAAGCCCTGGGCAACCAGGGTATTCCTACTCAGTACATCAGGATTCTTCGTGAGCTCTACAGCAACTTCACGACCAAGATCTCACCATTCTACAGATCATCATCGAGTATTCGTTCCGCTTGCTCGATGTTTGGCGTTATCAAAACAAGGTCGTCAGCAAAGCGGAGAAGGTGTAGTTGCCGACCGGTCGATCTTCACTCCCATGTCTTCCCATTCCAATTGACGCATGACGTTGAGAGAGGCGGTGAATAGCTTCGGCGAGATAGTGTCGCCCTGTCGGGCACCCCCTCTTCACGGCGATGATGATCTCTAGAATGGTGAGATCTCGGTCGTGAAGTTGCTGTAGAGCCCACGAAGAATCCTGATATACTGAGTAGGAATTCCGTGGTTGCCCAGGGCTTCGATAACCGCTTCTGTCTCAACGGAGTCGAAGGCTTTTTCCCAGTGGATGAACGACATGTAAGGCAACAAAGTTGTTCAAGCGGTAACCTGGGCTTTCTTTCACCCGGCTTTCTCTTCTAACCACGAGCCGTAAAAAAAGAAACTTTTTATGTAGCGCAACTAGCAACGAAGAAACGAAAATACGAA